TCATCTTATTTACTACCGTCGTCCTAAGCAAACAAGATGCATAAACATGATAAACATCACATGCAATCAAATAGTGACATGATATGGCCAATATCATTTTGCTCCTTTTGATCTTCATCTTCGGGGCTCCATGATCATCATCGTCACCGGCACGACACCATGATCTCCATCATCGTGTCTTCATGAAGTTGTCACGCCAACGACTACTTCTACTTCTATGACTAACGCGTTTAGCAATAAAGTAAAGTAGTTTACATGGCGTTCTTCAATGACACGCAGGTCATACAATAAATAAAGACAACTCCTATGGCTCCTGCCGGTTGTCATACTCATCGACGTGCAAGTCGTGAATCCTATTACAAGAACATGATCAATCTCATACATCACATATCATTCATCACATTCTTCTTGGCCATATCACATCACATAGCATACCCTGCAAAAACAAGTTAGACGTCCTCTAATTGTTGTTGCATGTTTTACGTGGCTGCTATGGGTTTCTAGCAAGAACGTTTCTTACCTACGCAAGACCACAACGTGATATGCCAATTGCTATTTACCCTTCATAAGGACCCTTTTCATCGAATCCGTTCCGACTAAAGTGGGAGAGACTGGCACCCGCTAGCCACCTTATGCACCAAGTGCATGTCAATCGGTGGAACCTGTCTCACGTAAGAGTACGTGTAAGGTCGGTCCGGGCCGCTTCATCCCACAATACCGTCGAAACAAGATTGGACTAGTAACGGTAAGCATATTGAACAACATCAACGCCCACAACTACTTTGTGTTCTACTCGTGCAAAGAATCTACGCAATAGACCTAGCTCATGATGCCACTGTTGGGTAACGTAGCAGAAATTCAAAATTTTCCTACGTGTCACCAAGATCTATCTATGGAGAAACCAGCTACGAGTAGAAGGAGAGTGCATCTACATACCCTTGTAGATCGCTAAGCGAAAGCGTTCAAGTGAACGGGGTTGATGGAGTCGTACTCGTCGTGATTCAAATCACCGATGATCCTAGTGCCGAACGGACGACACCTCCGCGTTCAACACACGTACAGCCCGGTGACGTCTCCCACGCCTTGATCCAGCAAGGAGAGAGGGAGAGGTTGAGGAAGACTCCATCCAACAGCAGCACAACGGCGTGGTGGTGGTGGAGGAGCGTGGCAATCCAGCAGGGCTTCGCCAAGCACCATGGGAGAGGAGGAGTAGGAAGAGAGGTAGGGCTGTGCCAGAACTTCGTGTATAGCTCCCGTGCGCCTCCCCACTATATATAGGGGTGGAGGGGCTGGTTTCTTGCCCTCCAAGTCCATTGGGGCGTTGGCCAAGGTGGGAGGAAAGAAATCTCATTATTTCCTTCCCCACCGATTGTTATCCCCCCTTTTTAGGGATCTTGATCTTATCCCTTCGGGATATGATCTTATTCCTTCTAAGGGGGGATCTTGGTGCGCCTTGACCAGGGGTGTGGGGCCTTGCCCCCACTACCCACGTCCATGTGGGTCCCCCCATGCAGGTGGGCCCCACTCCGGAACCTTCTAGAACCTTCCCGGTACAATACCGAAAAATCCCTAACATTTTCCGGTGGCCAAAATAGGACTTCCCATATATAAATCTTTACCTCCGGACCATTCCGGAACTCCTCGTGACGTCCGGGATCTCATCCGGGACTCCGAACAACATTCGGTAACCACATACAAACTTCCTTTATAACCCTAGCGTCATCGAACCTTAAGTGTGTAGACCCTACGGGTTCGGGAGACATGTAGACATGACCGAGACGTTCTCCGGTCAATAACCAACAGCGGGATCTGGATACCCATGATGGCTCCCACATGTTCCACGATGATCTCATCGGATGAACCACGATGTCAAGGACTTAATCAATCCCGTATTCAATTCCCTTTGTCTATCGGTATGTTACTTGCCCGAGATTCGATCGTCGGTATCCAATACCTTGTTCAATCTCGTTACCGGCAAGTCACTTTACTCGTTCCGTAACACATCATCCCGTGATCAACTCCTTGATCACATTGCGCATATGATGATGTCCTACCGAGTGGGCCCAGAGATACCTCTCCGTTTACACGGAGTGACAAATCCCAGTCTCGATCTGCATAAAACAATAGATACTTTCGGAGATACCTGTAGTGCACCTTTATAGTCACCCAGTTACGTTGTGACGTTTGATACACCCAAAGCACTCCTACGGTATCCAGGAGTTACACGCTCTCATGGTCGAAGGAAGAGATACTTGACATTGGCAAAGCTCTAGCAAATGAACTACACGATCTTTTGTGCTAGTCTTAGGATTGGGTCTTGTCCATCACATCATTCTCCTAATGATGTGATCCCGTTATCAACGACATCCAATGTCCATAGCCAGGAAACCATGACTATCTGTTGATCACAACGAGCTAGTCAACTAGAGGCTCACTAGGGACATATTGTGGTCTATGTATTCACACGTGTATTACGATTTTCGGATAATACAGTTATAGCATGAATAAAAGACAATTATCATGAACAAGGAAATATAATAATAATACTTTTATTATTGCCTCTAGGGCATATTTCCAACAGGAATATCCTTCATTGACCGTGAGAGCTTGTGATGGGCTAAGTTGGGACACCCCTGCAGGGTATAAACTTTCGAGAGCCGTGCCCGCGGTTATGTGGCAGATGGGAATTTGTTAATATCCGGTTGTAGAGAACTTGACACTTAACTTAATTAAAATGAATCAACCGCGTGTGTAACCGTGATGGTCTCTTTTCGGCGGAGTCCGGGAAGAGAAACGGTCTTGTGTTTTGCTTGAACGCAAGTAGTTTCAGGATCACTTCTTGATCTTTTCTAGCTTCTCGACCGTGCGTTGCTTCTCTTCTCGCTCTCTTTTGCGTATGTTAGCCACCATATATGCTTAGTGATTGCTGCAGCTCCACCTCACTACCCTTTCCTACCCTTAAGCTTAAATAGTCTTGATCTCGCGGGTGTGAGATTGCTGAGTCCTCGTGACTCACGGTTACTTCCAAACAGATGCAGGTGCCGATGATGCCAGTGCAGGGGACGCTACCGAACTCAAGTGGGAGGTCGACGAGGATTCGGGCCGTTACTATGTTTCTTTTCCGGATGATCAGTAGAGGAGCCCAGTTGGGACGATCGGGGATCTAGCATTTGGGGTTGTCTTCTTTTATTTTGGTTCCGTAGTTGGACATTTGATTGTACTTTGGATGATGTATGGATTATTCATGTATTGTGTGAAGTGGCGATTGTAAGCCAACTCTTTATCCCTTTCTTATTCAGTACATGGGATGTGTAAAGATTACCCCGCTTGCGACAAGCCTACCATGGGGCTATGCCTCTAAGTCATGCCCCGACATGTGGGAGATATAGCCGCATTGTGGGTGTTACAACCATCCATTGAAGTTGAGAATGCCAGGAAGGAGATGGGCATGCCGAGTGAGGAGCAGCCAGCGCAACTGGATCTATGAAGCCTAATGTGCGACATGAATCATCGATCGTGGCTTTTGCAAGCATCTACCAAGATATATGTACCCTTGTATTTTGGTAGTTTTGGAGAGCCCTCCTTTTTGTACAGATTAGAGTATGAGACCCTAGAGTGTATCCGGACTAGGGTAGTGCAATCTTCAAGGTCTGTGGGGTGCATGCATGCATGTTCTTGTTTTGTTGTGTGTGGACATGTTTTGTGATGATCACCCATAGCATATAAAGCCAATATGTTTGTTTGCCATCACGTGTTGGTGTTGGTGTGGCTGGTTGTGAAACATATGATTAATCAAAATGTTTTGAGTAGATGCATTGCAAGTGCGGCGCTTCTCGCTGTGGCTTTTTGTGATTCACCTCTATTAAAATTGACGGTAGGATATCAGGCACATAGATAGACAGAGATTATAGAGGCATGCAGGATGGAGCTTGGACTGGTTCTAGCTGATTAAGAGTGAAAAGTCTTATTGTGGCCATTTTGCAAGATGGAAGTAATAAATTTTTTTAGTTTTTAGATTTTGTTTGCTTGAAAAATTGACATGTTTTCATCACATTTGACAAATGATTAAAATTTCATCAGTTTTCTAACTCTAGCCGATGCAGTTTTCTAGAAACACTGTCATCGTCATCATGTGGTTAAATGCCTAGAGATGCCCACAAGGGTCTGGATTGCGCCACCTCACTGATCTGTGGCACCATTAGCCTTCTTGTTCTCTCCATCATGCCTTCCAAGACGTGTCATCGCCCCCATGTTCTCTTCATCATGCCTTCTTCCAAGACCAAACCATCTCTATATATAGTAAAGGTAGTGATCCATCCGCGTGTGACTTATGACTTGGGACAACGGGGGGATGCTACCCACAAAGCAGCATAAACAAACACTCAAAACTACTTCATACTAATACTTTTTCTTGGACCTAGGTAGCTAGATAGCATCACCTAACATAGCATACTAAGGAGTCTGAAATTCTTCCTATGCATTGTCATTTCATACAAGAATAAATCATAAATATAAAATAAAGCCATGCATCACAAAATGCAGTTACTTGCAATTTGTGTTTATTTGAGACATGGAGATGGCTCTTGTTCCTTCCTCCCTCATGATAACTGCAAGCAACACCGGTAAATTCAATAGTAGTATACTACTTCACTAGAACCATTGCGAGCAAAAGCCAATTGCAAATCACCAATATAACCCATAACATAAGCATATTTCTCCTCCAAAGTGTGCTTGGGGGGTTAAAAAAACAAGATAGAACAAACATAAGCGAGAGCAGCATTATCTTTCGTATCTTTGTCATCAATAACTTACGGTATGAGCAGAACATATACATATTCATAAGGAAGCACAAGACATAATATTCATAAGGGAGCACAACATATAAATTGTGAGAAACCACATTATTAGTGCCAGAGCATGAGCGCATACTTCTGTAGTGAAGTTCTATGTATCTAGCCAAGTGAACATGCATATATATCAGGGGAAACCAAACCAGTTGCTCAATCGGACTTGTGCTGCTCGTGCGCCGCAAGGGCATGCTTAACCGGGCGCGCCTCTACCCCTCCACCCTCGCGGCTCTGGAGCGTGAAGGGCATGTACGTGCCGAGGATCTTGTCCCACACGACGAAGAAGGGCTGTGAGAAGTTGTGTTTCTGGCCGTAGAGCTGGTGGTGGATGTTGTGGAAGGCGCTGTTGTTGGCGAAGACGGCGTGGATGACGTTGCCGGGCAGCCAGAGGCCGCAGTGGTCGTCGACGGTCTTGATGGCGCCGAGGGAGATGAAGAAGATGGCGGTCCGGGGGGTCATCCCGGAAGCGAGGAACCCGACGGCGCCGCTGGCGGTGTCCATGAGCAGGCCCTCGAGCGGGTGGCTGTAGAGCGCCCCGAACGCGTAGGGCACCAGGATGGTGTGGTGCTGCGCGTGGACGTGCTTGTAGAGGAACTTGTTGGTGTGGAGGTACCTGTGCACGAAGTACTGCCACGTGTCCATGGCAAACATCGCCACAATGAACTGCAGCGCGATCACCGGTGCCGGAGGCTGCTCCCTCGCGTCGCGCCTCCCGTCCCCGGTGATCTGCATGCATGTTTCGCAGAAAGTAAGTGCATAAGTTATGTACTACTCCCTCCGTCTTTGAAAAAGTATATTTTCAACTTTGTTGGAAGGTCAAACTATTTTAAATTTTGACCGAGTTTGTGCAAAAATATATTAATGTTTGTGAGATCAAATAGGTATATGATGAAAATATATTTTATCATAAGTCTAATGCTACTAATTTAATGGCATAAATGTTAGTGTATTATTGTATAAATACAATCAAACATAAAATATGTTTGACTTATCAACAAAGTTGGAATTACACCATTTTAAAAATGAAGAGAGTATGTACCAAGTTTGTATGGCACGACGAGGATATGGGATTAGTACCTTGAAGACGATGAGGGAGACGGCGACCTGGACGGCCTGCTGGAGGAGGACGCCCTTGAGGACGGTGCGCTTGGAGGGTATGTTCCTGGTCTCCTCGTCCTCCTTGGGGTGGAGGCGGTAGCAGTCGACCGTCCCCAGCGCGTCCAGCACGTTGTACAGCGCCGAGTAGAGCCAGTACACCGCGATGGGCACGAACGTGCCCAGTAGCTCGTCCGAGACCGCGAAGGCCATCCCCAACACCCCAGATCTTTACAGCGCACACTGATGGATTGCCTCCTCTAGCTTGGAGATGGTTAGATGCATGGATGGTTGATGTAGGCCACGGCTGCTGCTACAGCGGCCATTTATAGGGGGCAGGGGGAGGAATGGCAATGCAGCGGGTCTACGAAGGCCCGCGAGACCGGGGAGAAAGCTTGGGATGTATCTCTGCACGTGTTTGGGAACTTGGGAAGAGAATTCAAGCTAGGGAGGCGGAGGCCGACGGGAAAGCATGCACACTGGCACGTGTCCAGAGAAACATCACTTCCGTTCATGGTTAAGTAACGGATGAGCGTATGTGATCAGTCCCGCTATTTTCACCCTGTGTGCTCGGTGGATCACTGGAACGATCGAGACGTGAACTGAAGCGGTCCCGCTTGGTGTTCTGCAGGTGTTCTGGGTTATCTGACTCTGCTTCGTCAACTCCGCGGAAAGACAAACTGTCGTTCGTCCAACTCTATCTGTTGGTACTTGTCTCACCTTCTTTGCATTTCGAGATGAGCGGGCTGTTCCATTGGTCAGCGATGACTTAACAGATATTCCATGCGACCGCAGCCATCGAGCGCCATTTTTCTCCCAAGACTCCGCAAGCATACTCGTTAACATTTCAAATTAGACGTCTTGACCTTCCCAGCGAATGCCAAATCGTCTCTTATCCCCTACGACCTGGGTCCTCACGAGAGATCGCACTAGTGCACGACAAGTCTGACAAACGAGATATTTTTTTTTTGAATGTTGACAAACGAGATATTTGAATTCAGAGAATAGGAGCTCTCAGTAGTCAGTACTCACGAGTTTCGAGTCAGGCAGCCCATCCTTGGCCCGAGGGTGGTCGGTGGTGTGGAACCTACCGCCTACCGCCGAAAGAAAAATCGAGCAGGCTAGGAGGCGATTGCCCACACTGTCGATAACAAAAGCTGTGCAAGCTTAGAATTCCTCTTGGAGTGAATACCTTCTCTATACTCTTATACAAAAATGAGTTGGTGATGATGGTATGCCTGCCATCCTGCAATATAGACCGTCCGATCTATATCTGACGGATAGAAAGCAAACTATGATAATTTTGCAAAAAGATACCCGCATCCCTTTCCACATTTGTAGATAAGGACTTTCCTCGTTCATCTCCGTCTCCCACGAGATAAACAGCTCGTATAAATGCATCTTGATGTTCCATGCAACGCATGGGCCTCTTGCTAGTCTTGTTTATAAACATGTGTGTGATCTTGATTAGAGATAACCTAACTGGTCTTAGTTAGCAAGGCAGTAAGATATGTGTTTTTCTTGTCAACATGACTGAGTCTATTAAACAAAACAATTAGGGTTTCTTTGGTTCAAAGGATTTCCATAGGATCATTGAAGAATTAGAATCCTTAGAAAATTTTTCTATGTTGATCGTTTAATTCGTAAGATTGAATCCTGTAGGATTTTTTCCTAAGGATTCATTTGTACAACATTTTGCAGGAATTCTAACATCCACTCCAACCTTTTGGAAGAAATCCTTTGTTTTTTCCGTGACACAATCAAACAAACTCAAATTCTATAGGGATCCAATGGACATGCCATTCCAATCCTACATTTTCTTTATTCCTTTGTTTTTGCAATCCTATGTATCAAAGAGGCCCTTAGTGTAAATTTGTCTGTTTCGTGTGACCCATAGTCCAAGTAGCTTCAAACCTTTACCCCATTGTAATATGTTTGGCAATTGGTTGCCGGGTTTTCACACAAGAAAATATGCACATATTATTGTGGGGGCGGCAAATTTATGTTGGGCTTTGTGGCTTATGAGAAATAATGTTGGTTTTAAAAGAAAATGTGCTTTATCTCCAGTGCAGGTTATACATGTATGTATGGGTGGCTCCGTAATTGGTCTATCCTACATAGACCGGAGGACAAATATATTTTTTATGATGGTGTCTACTAGGCTTTTTTTAGGGATGGTGTCTACTAGGCCGGTGCATATAGGAAAGTTTTCTCTCATCATGGGTGGCGGTTTCATCTTCAGATAGGATCTACCCCACCTTAAGTCGGTCCTCTTTATTAGTTGTCAAATACTCCTCCCTTCGTTTCTTTTTAGTTTGCATATAAAATTTTGTCAAAGTCAAACTTTATAAAGTTTGACCAGCTTTTGTAGGAAAAAATATCAACATCTACAATACTAAAGCTATATGGTATGAAAATTAATTTTATGATGCATCTAACAATATTGATTTTATATTGTGAATCTTGATATTTTTGTTTATAAACTTAGTCAAAACTAACAAAGTTTGACTTTGACCAAAATTTATATGCAGACTAAAAAAAATGGAGGGAGTAATATTTTCTTTGTATTGTGTCGGATGTGTGTTTCATGTTATGCGGAGGCTAGGAATCCGAGTGAAAATCTCCTTTACAAAGAAAAAACAGCATGAGCTCTTTTTAAATATAAAAAATGACCAATCTGATGTAGAAATATGAATCCATTTCTATGAACTAGAGAGCTCTAAAGAAAAAATTCCTACAAAAATCATATCGTATAAAATTCCTTCAAACCAAAGAGGCAAGCGTGGGAGAGGACAGGAGAACCACCACAGCCAGCATCTTCGAAAGGGGAACGTCGCCAACGGGCAACGCCGTTGCAGCCTCCGAGCACAGCCGGAGATGGATTTCTTCCATCCCACCCCTGCATATGCAAGCTCACTGCCGCCACCGGCCACCGACATCATACCACCACGAGGCTCATCGACGACCTCGCCCAGGGGTCGCCGTCCCGGCCTCCTCGCGCCGCCACTCTGCCTCCCGTGAGGCCCAGATCATCCAGCCTCATCCCCCGCCGCCACCGCCGCAGACCAAATCTACAAGCCACGCCCGTCAATGCGACGTCGTCGGGTCACTGTCCTCGAACCGACGCTCCACGCCCCCGCCGTGGAGCTGCGAATGCCAGCCGGAACAACCGCATCCCAACCATCTTGCCACAATTGCCAGCCAAAAGCTGCCAGCCACACCGGCACCTCCCCCAACTCCCGGCAACCGCAGCCAGCTTTGCAACAGAACGCCTCCGAGCATCCCCCACGGCAGAGCTAGATTCGAGGCCACCACCTCAGCCACGAAGACCAAGCATGCTCAGATGTTGCAAGCAAAAGCATGCCCGGGGCGAGAACCCCTACCCCCTCCATTTGGTTTGTAAGGAGAGCACACGGATGTCTCGATCTTCAATTTGACTAACAAATTGTGTGACACATTTCAACAAAGAAAATGCGTGCACGCCACGAAAAGTATATGTTTAGAAACTTCATTCAACGAAGAATCCAACGATATATTTTTAGTGGCATATAACACACATTTCGCTAGCCAATTTGACGACCTAGAAACACCAATGTTCGCCTTGCAAACCCAGATAGAGGACACCAAGTCACCAACCACCGGCACAGGAAAAGCATAAAGCATAATAACATCAACACAGCAACATGGACAGCATAGTCTGAACCTGAATGCCATTCATCCGGTAAGCAGTTTAACAGGCATACAAGATAAGAGAGAAAAACATCCCGACTTCTCACAGTTAAGCTATAGTTTTAACCAAAAAGTAAACATCCGACGACGCGACTGGCAGTACAACCGACCCAAGGCATGGCATGTTAAATGTTGAGAAAAATCATCGATATGCTGGCGCTCCGGCGAAGGAATAGAGTGAGGAAACCGGCACACCTGGTCCGTTGGCCCTTGCTGTAGGGACAGGTCTCTGACTGGCTTCAGCATAAGCAGGGTTGGAGGTCTGATAAGAATGTGGGAGATCCACGGCACGAGCATTTAGCTGGTCCGAACGGTAGAGCCCCCCATAAGAACCACGAGCATCTATCCCTCCTTGACGGTAGGGATCCTCCATACGAACATCGCGAGCAGCAACCTCTCCTGGACGGTAGAGATCCTCCATACGAGCACCACGAGAAGGAACCTCTGCAGAGCGGTAGAGATCCGCCACACGATCACCACGAGAAGCAATCTCTCCTGGGCGGTAGAGTTCCTCCACACGAGCACCACGGGCAGCAAGCTCTCCTGGGCGGTAAGGATCCTCCAGGCGAGCATCACGAACAGTGGTCCGGTAGAGCTCCGACATATGGTCAGCACGAGCAGACAACTCCCCAAGCTGTGCTGCGTAATCCCTTGGAGGTGTTCTGGCAGCAATGCTGAAATTCAAGAATTTTATTAGTCAAGGACAAGATATATAACTTCAGTAAAGACAAGAACACAATATATAACTTCAGTGAAGACATGATAGTATTGTGATAACCACAATGTGTTCAACTGTCAGTTGGAATTAGCAGAACATACGAATTTGAACTTACCGCTCATGCACTGGATCCACTCGAGAACGGTAGTAAGAATCATCAGATGAAGGAGCCAAATGGTGGTAATATGCTGGTGGGACATGCCGAGGCTCTGGTACAGAAGGCGCATAGTGAGGCCCTGTGGCAAGAGGAACATGGCGAGCCTCTGGGGCAAGAGGAATGTGTTGAGACTCAGGTGCAGGAGGTGCTTGTTGATAATATCTGTGCTCATCCTGGACATTAACCAAAAATTGACCAGGTCGGGGCTCGGTAGGAAATGGAGCAAAGTGTGTTGCCCTGTATGAGTCCTCAGGAGGAGGAACATGTACAACCACCTGCGGGCGCCTGTCTTCAACATGCAATGGATGTGGCCTATCTTCATGTTGATGCCTTCTTTCTTCATCGCGGTACCTTCCATCTAGATTACTCCTTGGAGCTGATTGATATACAGTGATAGGCTTGAATAGAGCCATCAGCCTACGAACCTGCATAAATCACATAATATGATAAACAACAAGGTAAAAACGTCATTTATGTTTGAAACTCCCACAATAGTTCTGTTGAGTAACTAACTAATTCAACAAAAATTATCCCAAGGACACTCACTTGTGTAGAAGTGATCTCAGGGTCAAATTTGCGGCTTGCACTGTAGTTCTCTTTGATGGCATGCTTGAAAGTACTCTCAGGAAGAGGAAGGCAATCTTTATCAGTCGTAAATTTCACCTACATCAAACACATCAAAGTAGTTTTGAGAACAATAAGAATACTCTTCTTCAGTACTAACTTCTCTGGCATAAGGTCCAGTTTTAATCAAAAGCTTGTGTGGAATCCTTCACCCATAAAATAGTGCTTGGCCACTGTAAGCACATAAAATTATGTGTCTGCTGTCCTCTATACCACTTACAGCTATATGTTACAGGGCTAACACATTGAGCTTGAACCCAGCTGTTAGTAAAACAACCAGTCCAAACTCCAATGTACAGGACGTCAAAACTTCAGCCTATGATCTCCAGCCTTACTCAAGCCAACTCCAACCACCCAACAGAAGTGCAATCAAACAGATTGACCCTTGAGGGTAAATACAACTACGAGCAAAACTAGATGTGCATACAGAATACAACTATGGTAGATAGCATCAATCATTCTAACTATGAAATTTCCAGGGACCACTAACATATCGCACGCCTCTTCGTTTTCGCATTCATCAAGTGTCATCATGATAACATTGGCATAATAATTGGAATTGCAATGCACAATATAGATCACCATTTTTCAGAGGAATAAGAAGCACCACTTCTTATATGGTTGTTGCCATGTTGCCACCATCCTCCAAAGGACTACCAAGTAGTATAAATAAAATAAAATTCACTAACTACGAAGAGAAGCATGCTTGCGCAATCAAAATCTTAAACAAAACAAGGTAAATGAAGGATTCGTGCACAAGGGGTGCTAGGTACTTATGCTTTTGCCAAAAAAAAAAGAGGCAAATATCACTTGCTAGCCTTCATCCTAAAAAGGGCCAACTTAGAGGATAGCATATAACAAGTTGGGCTTCATAGATAAAGTTGTATAGGGCTGCATAAGCTTGTTAGATACAATTTGTGAAGAAAGAGGCGATGTGTCAAGTAAAAAACCCTTTTACAAGTGCTAACGTTGTAAACTTTTTAGACGGACAATTGAATAAGCATTTGAGTTTGGAGTGGTTAGATTGGGTCAGTGTCAGGGTATACCCCTCATAAATGATTTCTTCATACGAGGGGTTAATTAGATTTACATCAGTTGCATCTTTAAGTGTCTTGATATTTCAAGTTCTCAACCAATAACTAATTTGAAGAGTCAGCATGCTACCACCCAAAAAAATGATACACGTGATCACGTCTAACTAGACCTTGTGCTCGGCTGACACATAAATTTACACTACTTGTACACTCAACTACTCCCAGATAGAGCCTTAATAATATCAACTAAATCTCATCAAGAACCAGTGCATAGGTTTAACCACATATCTCATATTTGGTACATAATTTTGATAACTGCAAAACTTGCTTTACCATGAAGAAACCATGCTTTAGTAACTTCATTGACAGGTTTTTTTCCTTCAATTTTAACGTTTCTTGTGTGTTGCAATAACTATAAAGTCTAATGCATAAGAAAAATCAAGCACCAAAAGGGAAGGAAACTCATTGGTGGTTAATATTGGAGACATGGAAGACTATTTAGTTCTCGGCAAGAACGAGAAAACATAGATAACTGGTAGAGGCATTAAGCTGGCCATTTTTATATGCTATGTAGGAATACATCTCAATTATAATTGGAGAACGGAACGATGATTCGATGATGGCCAGCTAAATTCATGATCCACCTAGCTACATCTTCCATAATAACTTGGGTAGAAGATACAAAACTAAGGAACCCTGTGCACATATATGGACACATGCACATACTGTCCAACAGGATCGCTAGTCTATTCTACTAATACATTTTAGGGCTTACAAACAATGGCATATAGTTCTCATCAAGAATGAGAAAACATAGATTAACTGGTCGAGGCATTTAAGTCGGCCATTTTTATATCTATAGGATGCATCGATATTATAATTAGAAAACGAAGCATTATTCGATGATGGCCCGCTAAAATCATGATCCACCTAGCTACATCTTCCATAATAACTTGGGTAGAAGATATGAAACTAAGGAACCCTCTGCACATATATGGACCCATGCACATACTATCCAACAAACAGAAGTGTCACCAGTCTATTCTACTAACACATTTTTAGGGATGGCAAACAAGGGCATACATCCTCATTACTGGTGTTTGTGAACCCTTACGAACAAATGCACAATTGAAGTTACAATGCAAGATTAGCGCTAATTACTGTAATCCATGGCCCTGTTTGGACCTAAAATAGAGCTTATCTTTCTAGAAATAGCATGACCCAGCAAGATTTCTACTCATGTGTCATGTCTAACATATTCATTTGTGTTGCAAAACTATCGGAGCACCTGAGCCACGCACATCCTTAGGAACAATGCATACACCCATAAAATGCAAAACAGCTCACTCCACTACCATATATGGATCTAGGTAATGGAAAATCAAGATTACCTGAGCAGGAAACTTCCCGTTAAATGCATTTCTGACAAGGTTTATCCCGCCCTTTGATGTCGCCTTGTACACTCCATATAGCAGCCTCAAGTCAAAATCATACAGGAATACCTTTGTCCCTGGTCGGACCTTCTCCACCATCTCCTTCTTCCCCATGGGCATACCAAACACGCGGTTCTGGAAGCACTCCGGCTTAGTCTGTGCATTGCACATGAAGATAAGCCCTCCTGCCCTGCCATCACCACCCCCTTCTTTCTTGGACCCCTCCTCCTTCCACATCCCCTTCTTATTCCCCTGCGCCCCCTCCTCCTTCCCCATCCCCTTCTTATTCCCCTGCTCCCCCTCCTCCTTCCTCATCTCCTTCTTATTCCCCTGCGCCTCCTCCTGCTTCCCCTTTCCCTTCCAAGCCATAAGCCTCTCCTTATGCCCCTTCTTCTTCTTCTTGCCACCACCACTACTACCGCTAGCACCCACCCCATTGCTGGTAGCAGCTGCAGCATCAGCCGGCTTTGGCTTTGGCTTTGGCTTTGGAGTCGACGCTGATGCTTCTTCAGCGGTGTCTGGCTTTGGTGCCGGTACCTGGGCAGCAGATGATCCTTCAGCTACGGCGGCTGGCTTCAAAGATGCCGCAGGCGATGCTCCAGAAGGAGTGGACGGTTTCTGCACAGGCGCAGGGCCCGCGGAGGTGGACCCATCGGCCGCTGCCACAGCAGTGGCCGCGACCTTTGCGCCGGCGCCAATGGCTTTCCGTTTCTTAAACTTCGACGCCTTCGCTGAACCAGAGCCGGAAGCGCTCGCCGGGGACGGCCTGGCGGCGCCGGCGCCGGAGGAGGCCGCCTTGGCCTTGGCCTTGGGGGTGCTATTGGGGGTCTTCACCATGGCCGCTCCACGGGGCGGGTCCGGGGGGCAAACAACAAGAAAATCACCACAAAAATGGCGCCGCGCCCATCAAAATCGACGAGAAATCTGGAAGGGCAGAACAACGAACGGGGGATTCAATCGCAGCACGTCCTAGGGGGAAATCAGGAACGAATTCGTGCGGGGGAAATTCGGAGGAAACCCTAGGTTTGCTAGCCGAACGAGACGGGCCGCGGGCGGCGTACCTGGGATTCGCGAAGACGGCGAGAGGGGAGTGTGGAACTGAAACTGAAAGGGCGAGCGAGCCAGCGGATGGGACGGGGCGAGGAATAAATAGAAGGGGGATGCTTATCACGCTGCTGATGTCGTAGATTTCGTATATCGCGCTTGGACGGCCCGGATTGAGCGAGGGCCGATGAATAAATTGGGGGTGGTTAATTCGCTAAGATGTATCTTTGTAATCTATTTATTGTAGTTTTTTTTGCGAATAATCTATCTATTGTAGTTATAGCACATGGCCCGTGCGTTGCAACGGGAGAAAAAGAACATCACACACCCTTCCTTATTCTTTCCCATGCCAGATCCTTATCTACGATTTTTGTTCATAAATGGAAATAAAGAAAAGAGAGAAAATATACATAATCGGTTTCATTGTTGTGCTACTACCTCCGTCCGGGTTTATTGGGCCCCATCGTATTTTGGGTTAAATTTTGACCCTCTATAAAACTAACAAAATATAAAGAATTTGTTACAAAAGTTATATTATTGCATTTGTATTCGAAATAGTTTTCTCATCGTATAATTTTTGTGATATATAGTTTATGAATTGTGAGTCAAATTTAGGGTCAAACTGTGAACCAAAATAAGAGAGCGCCCAATAAACCCGGACGGCGGGAGTAATTTCTAACATTTGGTTAAAAAGTGTATATAATTCTATTACCCTTATGTATGTACATTTTTAGCTGCATACTAAATTTGTATGAAAAACGATGCTATTTTCCTCTAACTTGTTATTCTGAATTCTATAAATTAAATAAAGTTTTGTTATAAATTAGCTGCTAGTTTCATAAAATATTATTGAAAATTTTGATTTCTCATGAATACTAATTTTTTCGATCTTTTTTTGAATTTATAAGATAGAGTTGTCATATTTGTTTGCATGTTTGCCTATTTAAATTGATCCTATAGTGGACCTAATTATTCGATTCATCTAAATATCATTATACTTCGACGTGCCACAACAACCGCATAGATATTTTAGCTTTCAAACGATTGCGTCATATTTGATATTGATTTTCCATATATGATATTTGATATTCATCAAACAATGTAAGTTGTGACTTCGTTTATTTACGAGCTTTACGACATACATAGACAAAGTATTAGTACATATGTTTGGTGATTTACCTGTATATATGCATAGACGTGGAAGATTTATTTTTTCTTACATGCGCACTTAAACTCTTGGCTTGTCCGGCTGGATCATCATGCAAAAAATTGAGTCCGCCATGTAAGTAGCCTCCGTCGTCACCGCGTCCACCGTTGAACCTGTATCTGTCCTCCCGTCTCCTACTTTCCTTTCTCTCTTCTTTCCTTTCCAGAGGAGACAGCGCCATTGGCCCGAGGAGCACGCCACCGGCCATGGGCGCAGCCTGATCTGCTCCGCCACCAACCGCCACTGCCACTGCCGCCTTTGCCCCGATCCGGCTCCCTGCCAACCATATTTGATGAACCCCTCCAAGGAACCACGCTGCCGGAGCTCCCCATGCCCGCGGAGCCCCCGCCGTCGCGTCGTTTTGACCAGAAGCCGAGCGCTACCTTGCCTCGCGCCATCTCCTCGGGTCGATTCATCTGTTGTTCTTTTCTCGATTTGATTGTTTCAACGCCGCGTCCATCGTTACGTCCTCCGTCCTTGTAGGATTCCTATAAGCCTCCTTAGAGATTCATCTGTTATTCTTTTCTCGATTTGATTCTTTCCTTGTGTCGGTCAAAGTCCCTATGTCTTCCTACCCTTCGTAATTTCCCTACGTATATAAATTGATAGGATGCCAATGTGCCTCTGTGGTGGTCATGACTGCAGTCTAACAATGGTGATGGTTGATGCATCCTAGGATGAGCCAATGAGGTGTTCCGGTGGTGTTTTAAATAGACTGTGATGCTTCCGTAATTTTGGTGCATTGCCCATTGGAGAGGATTGAAGGCACAGCGACATCTCTGATGTTGTCGAGTTTGTCTGGGTTCTTAAAACAATAGAAAACAAACGGTGGAGATTAATCACTCTATAGCTAATGATATTTAAACGGCAGAGATCGATTAGTATGTTTGTTGCGTATATATATACAAATAACAAAAAGGTAAAGTCACGCCATATAACGAAACACTCCTTCGGCCAGGTTATATGTATGTGGCAATTGAAAAACACTACATGTATCATGTGCTAAAAAAATCCGGTAAAAAACAAAGCAGCACTTGGACACGGATATATGTAAGCAGGTTGATTGATTTCCTACCATAACACGGACATGCAAGCTGAGAATGATGTTCAAAAAAAAATGGCACACAGACACGGAACTTACACGTACACAGGTTGATTGTTTTCCAACGATAGCACAACACATGCAAGTTGAGAAAGATACAGTTTAAAAAAAGCTAAGACGTGTGCATGCAGGCCCATATAAATTAGTACCATCTTGGATATAGAAAATAAATATAGACATGTTGGAAAAAAATTGAAAGCGTAAATTCACGGGAAGAAGCGTATTGTGACGGTGAATCCACGGAGTCAATCCGTGCTTTATTATTAGGGAAAGATTTATAGCCATTTATAGGATTTTCTTTCCCGCAAACTTTTTACAAAACGTTTTGAAGGACACTCCTCGGCTTGGACTTTAGAATGCAGCGAGTACAAACCATGTGTGTTGTCATCCAACAACTTCCGATGTCAATGCACCCCTGGAAAAAAAGACCATCTTCCTTCATTGTGTTATCTCGGGTTCATTGTATATAATATGACCATCATGTACAATAAGACTATCAAGTGTCACATTGCTAACGCTCTCTATTCAACTTTGCAAAAACCTGCAAATGCGGAGGTTAGGGTTCTAAGAAAATAAAGGGTTCACACTCCCCTCTTTTGCTCCCGGACTTTGGTAGACTAATTGTTCCCTCTTCACTGTGTCATCTTTTCTTAGTATATTGTTTCATTCGTGAACAGTAATCATTATACTATGAAGTGTGACATTGTTAACGTCATCTCTTCTTCTTTGGAGAAACCTGTCGGCGACAAAAATTAGGGTTTTGCAGAAATAATTAAAGAGTTCCCACAACCCTCATTTGCCTCATGGACTTGGACGGTCGGTTGTCAATGGTGGTGGTTTGAAACTAGGTGACTTTATGAGTAAGGATGAAAGAGTTGGACAATATAAGGGCATGTTAGCAAAATAAAATGGCAATGAAATATGATAAGATTTTTATTGGATGTGCCAGGTTGAGCAAGAGGAGAAATAAATGACTTTTTTATTTCTCCGATGTGTATCTATCTATTAGGTTTTCATATTTATTTACATCTATCTACAAGATTTTGTATCTCAAATATATTCACACACCAATTCTAAAAGAATGCCACTAGTGTCTAGTATAATTCATCAAGTCAGAGCAATGCACACACCCATTTTGATATTATAGATTAGATAAGAATAGTGTGTCTCGTCTTTTAGCAACTCAAGCTTTTGACGCACCCAAGGTAGAGACCATCATTTTTCCCTTGAAGGTTCTTAATTCCAATTCACATTTCCTTTAACGCACATAATAATTAGGCCAAGAGTCCAGTATGTCGCCCTTAATTCTCCCTCTTCTTCTCTGGCGAAGGTAGAGATGTAGGGGAGCCTAGGGTAAGTATAGGGCTCACACCAACTCCCTGCCTCAAGGTTTAGAGAGACGTTACTTATATTAGTGGTCAGATGGTGACAAGTTGTATTGACAATGGATGTTCTTTATGACGTGCATAATAATTAGTCCATTTTTCAGATCTACCTCCATCATAATTAATGCTTTCCCTTTATTTATAACGAAGGGTGAAACAGACCTACAAGAGACGTTACTCATATTAGTAGTCCGATATTTGCGGATATATTGAAATGAACGTGTCCTATGACGAAACACACAATAATTAGGCCATCTATCGAGTTTTCGTTAGTTAACATTCCCTCTTCATCTCTAAATAAGACCACATCATGGAGCTTAGGGTTTGCGTAAATAGAGGGTCCACACACCTCTCTTGCCTCCTAGACTTCAGTTATCAAAAGAAGTGGTGAGCCGATATATAGGAAGGAGGGAAAATGTTAACATGCCATTCAAATAAGCATATTGGGGTGAGAGCTAGGCGCGGGTGGAGGTAGAGAGTTCACACTCACTATGTACCTCAATATTTTGCAGAAGAATGGTAAAGTAGGAGCAATCCACACATGTTTTGTCTATCAAACAATAATATTGTGTCTCGTCTTCAAGCAACTCGAGCTTTGGATGCATAACCAAGGTAAAGATATTCTTTACTGTAAAGGTGTTTTATCTTCACAATACCTTCAACACAAACAACAGTTAGACCGCCAATCTAGTTTTCCATCATTAATGATCACATTTCATTTCTTGTGAAGGCAACAATGGAGAAGGCTAGGGTGCGGATAGAGCACCCACCCCCCTCACAACCTCATAAGTTTAGGGGGTGTTACTTGTCGAGTTTGAAACAATTGGGTCCATTATTGAGTTTACCCTAGTTAATGTCCCTCATCATCTTTGATGAGACCACATTCGAGGGTTTGGAGGAATAGGAGATGTGTTAAAGGACACACCGAGAAGCTTAGGGTTTGCAAAAATAGAGGGTCCAACCCCCTCCGTTGCCCCATGGGCTTGCCGGTAACTTTGAAGGACATGAGCGGAGTAGAAAGACAAATAGTCATGCCAACTGGTGGAGACAGTAGACATGACAGAGAAAATGTTGACATGTCATTTGACTAACTAAATTTGGGAGGATAGGAGGGTGTCAGTGGGGTGGATAGGATTCACATTCACTATATACCTCAGTTCTTCGCACAAGAACAGACAAGTATGAGTGATCAACACATCTCTAAAACTATTAGGCATGAGTGGTGTGTCTCATCTTCTAGTAACTCAGTCTTTTGGTGCATACCCAAGTTCAAGAGCATCCTCTTTCCCGTGAAGGTGATTTGTCTCAATTCATGTTTCCTTCAACACACTCAATAATTAGACCATCGATCCAGTCTAGGAGGCTAGGATCAGTATAGAGTTCACACCTCTCCCTATATTTAGAGGGATGTTACTTGTATTGGTAGTTAGGAAATGGAAGTTGCATTGACAACAGATGTTTCCTTGGATGTACATAATAATTAGGACATCTATCTGGTCTACCGTGATTAATACTCTCTCTTTATCTCTTATAAAGTATGCAACGAAGGAGGCTAGGATAAGTAGAGTTTCACAACCCTCCCTACCTTGTGGGTTTAGAGAGATTTTGCCCACATTGTTCGTACCATAGTGGCGGAATATCGACATTGAATGTGTCTTTTGAACCACGCAACAATTAGGCCATTTATTGAGTTTGCCTTAGTTAACATTCACTCTTTTTGTTTTTAACGAAGGCCACACCATGAAGGATAGGGTTTGAAGAAATAGGGGTTGTGTTGGCCACATCGGGAATGTTAGGGTTTGTGAAAATAGAGGGTGAATAACCCATCCCTTGCCTCTTGGGCTTGGTTGGAATGACATGTACGAAGTAGGGAGATAATAGTCATGCCAAGTGGCAGAGCCAATACACGGGAAGGACAAAAATGCTAACATATCATTTGAATAACCAAATTTGGGGTGAGAGGTAGGTGCGGGTGGGGCGGAAAGGTTTCACCCTTGGTGCATGCATCAATTTTCTACAAAACAACAAACAAGTAGAAGCAATCAACACATCTCTTTTGGCTATGAGACACATATTGTATCTCGTCTTCTAGTGACTCGGGATTTTGACACGCACCCAAGGTAAAGAACATCTTATTTCCTATGAAGGTTCTTTATCTCAATTCACATTTCCTTTAATACACACAATAATTAGACCATCAGTCGATTCTGCCCTCATTATTGCTCCATCTTCTTCTGGGGTGAAGGCATCAACAGAGGAGGCTAGGGTAAGTACAGAGTTCATGCCCATCCCTAGGTTAGAGGGATATATGTTACTTGTATTGGTGGTTAGGCAGTGGTGGTTGTATTGGCAATGATTGTTTCCTCTAACGTGCATAATAATTAGGCAATCTATCTGGTCTAACATCATTAATGCTCCCTTGTTATATCTTGCGAAGGATGCAACATAGGAGGCTAGTGTAATTAGAGTTTCATACACCCCACCCTACCTTGTAAGTTTAGATATATGTTACTAATATTGGTTATCTGGTAGCGGTAGATATATTAGCAATGAATGTGTCTCTTAAGTACACAATAACTAGGCCATCTATCGAGTTTACCCTAGTTAACATTTCAGCTTCATCTTTGACGAAGTCCACATCGGGAAGGTTAGGGTTTGCGAAAATAGGGTTTGTGTTGGCCACATCAGTAAGATTAGGGTTTGCAAAAATACAAGGTTAGT